TTTTTAAGTGGGAGAACTTGCACAATTGGTGGCTGTCTAAATACTTTTTTGCCCCACTGTAAATACCTGTTTCTATTTATTTATAAGATACATATGAGTGCAAGTCTACAAGTAAGATGCAGTCTTTTGGAGCGTCTTAGAAACAGTATCTTAGGAAGAGGTTAAGCAGGGTTCTGCATTAGCTGCTATACTTTTCAACCTTTATATTAAATTCTTAGGGTTGTGTGAGATTTGGACTCTCAGCTCCTAGGATAATCAGCAAAAGTTTACCTTTAGTGCTCTGTGCAAACAATGCTGTGATCTTATTAACAGCAGTTAGCCTCAGGAGAGCATTGAAGTCCCTAGCTCAGTATTCCAAAATATCAGAAGTCAAAGATCATAGCATTAGTGAAAAATCTTAAATTGAGCAATTGGAATATCCAGGGTAATACCATTGAGTAGATTAATTGTTTTAAATATCTGGAGACAGTATTCCCTGACTCAGGCAAAAGAGGGCCTAAGTTGACTATGTAGCATGGAGAGCATGAAGAAATGTTTCAAGTATCTTCAGATTCTTCTGTGTAGAGGAGGTAGTTTCATATTTACTGCTATCAAATTATTTGAGCTAAATCTCTTGATTAATTCCTGTATGAAGCCCAGTTAGGTCCATATCCCAATTACCTCTTGGAAACTGTTCAACCTAGATTCCTGATGGAAATGTTTTGATCCCCAAATGCATCACAGCTGCTATCCTCCAGCTGGAGGCTGCTCTATCAAAGATGCAGACTTATACTTGGCTGACAATTTTTAGTTTTTTGTTAGAGCTTAATTTAAGTGCAGTTGGGCCTGGTTCCCTTAATTTTCATGGACAAATTCCTTTCATTCTGATATAAGGCTCAGTCGAGCTTAATGTCCATAAGGCAGCTTTGTGAGTGTGAGCTTGATGTAATCCCAACTCCCAGCCACTCCACTCATAAGCTGACCATAAAACGACAGTTTCCACAGTTTACTCATGAGTAGCGATGGTTCAGAGTCACGTGGATGATCTCAACAATCTCTCCTTTGTTCTGGAGAGATTATGCTAGCCCGGATCCAGCATCCAGCTGCAATTTCCCTCGCAAAAGCTGTCTTACTAGCCAGCAAACCAGTAAGATGTCAGCTCGCCATGGCACTCACAGGAGGACTCAACAAATTCCTTTCGTTCTGGATAAAATATGGGCCTACAGTGAATCATCAGAGTTTTTGCTGTCCATAGTTATAATCAAGTCAGAGTGTTTCTTAAATAGTTAGGTCCTGAACATGGAATGGCAAAATGAGTTCAGTTTAGTTCCTAATAGGTCCAAACTTGACTCTGAAGCATAGGATTCAGCCAGCCAAATATCACTGAACAACTACATAAACTTTTCAGAGCCTTCTCTCAGGCCAATTTAATGGTCTTCCATCTGCTCTACTAGGAGGCAAATTTATAGGACTCCCTATAAGGAGCATAATTGCCCTTGTAGTTCAGAGCTCAATGAAATAGTTAGGCATGCCTGGTTATGCTCAAAGATTATTGAGAACTACGCATTAAATTTATTATGCTCCTGTTAGCAAAATTCCCTGGCCACACAGATAAATTCTTGCTCACCCTGTCACTTGTGGACAGGTAGCCTGATGCAACATATAAGGCAGCAAAATATTGTGCAGTAGTCTGTAGGAAGTGGCAAGTAGGTTATCAGCAAAATGGGTCATCCAACTCTCACAATAGCTGTAGTTTCTGGTGCTTTTCTGCTGTTGTATGTTTTATTATACTTACCTGCTTTATTACGAATTGTTTAATGACTGGACATTTTATCTTTTGTAGGCAATTTTAGGTTGCTGGCATTTGGCTATAATAAAAGATTCATTCAGTTAAATCAGCCAGTCAGTCATTTTGTCAGAATCAGGCAGGACCTAAAGCAGGAATCTTTTAGTCACATCCCTTGTTTTTGGTTTTAGTTTAGTGTGCTGTGTGAGCCCAACCAGTGTGCTTTATAAATAATGATTTATTGTTTATAGGAACGTGTGAATATAGCCAATTATGACTTATTTAACAAACTTCATTGAAGAACCAGTGAGTTCATAGTGTATGAACCGAGTCATGTAGATCTTCAAGCTCTGTTATTTCTGCATATCCAAATAATATACTCATTTTTCTTTGCCATGACCTTTGCTGCAGATGCCTTCAGGTCAGACCTGCATCTGTCTGGGCAGTTGTCTAGCCTCAGTTTTATCTACTTGGCTCCCTATCTTCCTGCATCATTGTCCAGCCGTCCTA